CCGGTCAACCAGGCGTCGGCCGCACCACATATTAGCTGGCATTTCACGTTGTCATCATTGCTGGCGCGGCGCCGGGGTCGCATGTCCGTAATGTCCTTTCACGCAGACAATCAGAAAATCAGACAAGAGCAGATGGTTAACAGTGTTAACGCGCTCGTCAGTTTGTCGTTTATTGTCCAGCTGCTGCATTTTGTATGGACAAATGGCGAAATTGGTGCTCATGTGAGTTGCTGCTGATGAAGTGCGGTGCCGGTGATGGGGTCGCGATTATTATTGTCATCATCAACCGTTTCGCAGTTCATTTTAAAATGCACGCATGTGAGAAATGTACCGTAAGGCGGCGCATATTATAATGAAAAATAATCGAAATTTTTATGTCAATTTTCAAATTTCAGTTTCTTTACTTTTATATAAAGATTTAAGGGATGGGTTAGGGTTGTAATGTAAAAAATTACTTTTTTACGAATTTATTTCTTAAATATGGATTGAGTGATTTTATTCGGACCTTTTGTATATTATTGAGCATACTTTTGACATATAAGCCAAAAATGTAAATGTAAAAAAGTAATGTTAAAGAATCGTTCCAGGCTGCTCCCAAGTGAATGGCGCTCAGAGAATTTTCCTCATTGCTTGAACTTCTACACATAGCATCTTCAATCTTTCATATACAATTACCTATCCCTTTCTTTGACAGCTCTGTTGATTCTTGAAAAATATTTTCCTTAAACTCATTACTATGGATTAGTCTTACAGCAACAATTCTGTCACAATGATAGATTCAAATTTTGTACTGTTCTGCTTGAGTTGGCGACGTTGAAATACCGTCTGAACTGTAATCATCGTGTGAAAATATGAAATGGAAATAGAATAATTCTCAGCTTAGAGCATTCAGACTTCTTTAGATGTAGCCCAGAAATACTTTTTATTAACCTGAACTAAGTAACACGAAACATATATATTATAAAACTGTAAGACAGTTGAGCTTTCTAGAGATTCGGCTCAATTTTGAATATATCTGACGAAATCATCACTGTAGAACTAAAGATTTTATATGAAAGAAAATTATATGCGAGATTTATTAGTTTGTATAGAAGATATATGCAATAGTGGTTCGATTAGAAGATTTTCTTCAGATATTTCTCCTTGGCTTTAGACAATACCAAATGCCAAATTTAGTCAAGTTATCTTTTCAAATAAAAAGCTTTTCCATACAACGCCTTAATTTCGATCGTTCATTTTGTATGATATCTAGAGGATATATGGATCTAATCTGAAAAGTTTCTTCGCAGATAACATTCTTGACTTAGATAATACTTTATGCAAAATTTCGTGAAGATATCTCATGAAATGAAAAAAAAAACTTTATTCTGATTGTACAGTTTGTATGACAACTGTATGCTATATTGATCTGATATAGACGATTCCGACAAATAAGCAGCATATTTTGCAGAAAAGGACGTGTGTAAAATTTTAGTTCGATATCTCAAAAACTGGTGGACTAGTTCGCGTATATATAAAAAAATATCTAACTTTGATTTTTACTATTTGAGGCTTATACCGACTCTTTTTAATGATTCACTAAAAATAATTCGTTAGTACATTGTTTGTGAAACTTCGAAATATTCTTGAAATTTTTCTCATGTTTTCGTTGTTTGATTTTGTGTTTTTCATTATTTTTGCATATATATTTTCGCTTATTTTTTCACGGTATAGTAATGTGTACCGTGGCGTATGAGTAATATAATCAATGGTGGCGAGTAGAGCGAGTAGAGAGTATGTAAGTGGTCTTTAAAATACATAGCTATAGATTTATTGCTGCCAATGAACTATATATATAAAATTTTCTTCTTATCCTACAACCTTTAGTTTAATTAATTTTTTTAATTGTGGTTATTCTCATTTTATAACTGTTAGTTTAACCAGTTTTCCATACTTCTAGTTATTTATAAGGTATTTTCAATACGTATACTTTGTAGTTATTGCAGTTATTATACAATGCATAGATTATTTATGGCATACGTATTAGGTTGAGTGATTTGGTCTCAAGAATATAGACATTATTGTAAAAATCGGTGATTTTTATTTCACTAAACTGAACTCCATCTGAGCAAAGGACCAAAACTGGTCTAGGCGGTGCTTATTGGCCTTCAAGCGTGATTTTACAGCAGAACAGGTATGGTGATTATAGTAGTATGAATTGAGCTATGAATAATTAATCTTTGTATGCCTCAAGAAATTTTTCCTGAATAAATCAGAACACTGTTAATAGTGTTGGAGAAGAAAAATAAATCATAGTAAAAAGTGCGTTCCAAAGCAAACAAGACTTTAGAAAACAGTGTTTTTTCGGCAAAATCAATTTATTTTATTCAAATTCGTCTCCTTCTGCTTCAATAGAGTTTTTTGGCAGGTCAAAAAGCGTATCGAACGAGCGTTTTAGCTCGTTCACCGGTATGGCCTCCATAATGCCCGTGCAAGCCTTTTGAATTGCCTCTACGTCTGCATAACGCTTTCTTTTCATGGGCAAATGCGTTTTTTCGAAAAGGAACAAGTCGCACGGTGCCATATAAGATGAATACGGGGAGTGGTTAATGGTTGAAATGTGATTTTTGGTTAAATAATCGTCTTCGAATGTTGGCTTCTGAGCAATTTTTGGTCGTCAGTCAATTTGTGCAAACCACACACCTTTCGTAGGCCTAAATGTTCGGTCAAAATGCGATAAATCGATGTTTTGGAGATGTTCAATTCCATTTCCATGAATGCAATGATGATTTCGGCTGGTTTTCGATGAATTCACGCACAGTTTCGATGGAATTTCCGGTGATCACGGATTTTGATTGGCCCGCATGTTGATCGTCATTTATGTCCTCTTTATGACCACTTTGGAAACCTTGAAACCACTCGTGAACTCTGCTACGGGATAGGCAATCATCGCCATAAACTTGTTTCATCAATTGAAACGTTTCGGTTAAAATTTTACAAATTTTAAAGCAAAATTTAATGCTAGCTCTTGTTTCGAAGCTCATTTTCGCACCGATAACACAAACATACTGACACTTAAAACGCAATAACTTCACTTCCAATCRATGAAATGTCATGAAATGGACAATCGATAAAGATAGCGCACCACCTGTTTACTTGTATTACTTGGATCAACTAGAAAATTTAGGACAATATTCAAGAGGTGTTGTAGAAAATAAGACCAAAAAATCGATTTTTGAAAGTCGTAAACTTATGAAACCCCTTAAGAACCCCTTAAATAAACTCTTTATTCTTAAAAATCTTGTTACTGAGCACAATCTACACTCTCTTGCGGTATATTAGCACGCGTAAACATTTACGGAGATTCGGTCCACCGCAGGCACTTGATATGGAAATAAAAAATTACAAGTAAATACAGCAACAAATAGATTACAAAAAAGTAGTATGAAAACGGAAATTGTTACAAAAAAGACAAACGCGTAACAAACTGTGCGACAATTGCGAAAATAAAAATCGCAAATACGTGTACAAGTGAATAAATGAGTGAATAACAGTAAATAAAGGAGGAAATGGAAAATAAAAATTGGAAAAAAGTGAAAAATAAAAAGACTGTAAAATAAAAACTGAGAAAAAAAACTGAAAATAAAAAGACTGTAAAATAAAAAAAAAATTGTGAAATATGCTGTTAAAATGGCGCGGTTGTTGTTGTAATAGAGTGGGCACGCATTGATATAAATAGGTATTTTTTTTCAATGTTAATGCTTACAACTGGAAACAGCTGCAAGCCGTCAGGATACGCGCCATTGTAAGGGACTATGTTACACAAACACACACACATATATATACGCATATACAAATGTGTGAGTGTGTGAGTATTTAGCATATGTGTGCGCGTTTGGCATGTTCAAGCGCGCCTACATGACTTTTGTTTGATTGCAAAACACATGGCAACGCCGCACATTATCAGCCACGGTTTGGCAGTTTTCGTTTTTTATTTTATTTTTATTTTTTTACTTTTTATTTTTTTTTGTTACTTTTGGCTTTTAACTTTACACAGCAATCACTTTTCATTTCATGCGCCTCCCTGTGCATGTGTGAGTGTGTGTATGTTTGTTTGTGTGGCGTTTGGTGTCGGCATTCGGCAGTTGATTTACTTAATCGAATGACGGATTCATAACGATGCGGACGCAACAAAAGAATGCCGTTGAAAGCGCCGAAAAAATCAAAGCAACAAAAGTATGTGTAGTTGTTGTAAATTTTGTGTGACTTTTTTGACGCGTTTGAATTGCAGCTGAAAGTAGCGTGCGTGCCGTTTTGTGGTGAAAAATTGTTGCACTCAATTTGAGCGGCGCGACACGCGAAAACCAGCGCGAAGATCAAAGGATAACTGTGTGCCGTTATACGTGTACGTGTGTGACAATACTTAAAATTGAACTTTTTGATGTTTTTTTTGTGAATTTGCGGCGAGTGCTTGTAACCCTTTGACTTGAGAGGGGGAGCAAGAGGAAGAAGAGTAAGAGAGAACAACTACAAAAGCGCCAAAAATGCCACTATCTTGTCAATTATATGTATGTACGTACATATATGAATGTGTGTGCGTGCGTATTACTGCGCTTTTGAAATTGACGAAAGTTCACTTCCGTTTCCGTTTTGCAAATTTGTCATTCAACAGGTTCCACACACACGTTTTGATAGCTGTGGCCACACACTTCAAAGCTTACAAGCACAAATACACACAGACATGTATACTCAAGCACACAACACATGACTTGACGCCGTTAACTTTGTATTGCACCCCTACTCCGCGCGTTGGTATGCAAATGAAGTGCGGATATGCGCCTCATTTGCCAAATTGAAGTTCAAAGTTTATTCGTGCCAATCGCTTAACACACCAAACTTCTAGAGTAAAAAAAAAAAAAAAATTAAAATAAAAAAAATTAAAAATAAAAAAAAATTTACAAATATATATAAAAAAAAAAATAAAAGAAAAAAGGTAAACTTTGAAAATTTTCCAATTGCAGTTCGTCGGCGTGAACGTGCGTGTCTCATAAACCCCAAATAAATTGTGTCTCGTGTGAAAATCCGTAAAAATGCACATCTCAAGTGAAGTGAGTTCAACCACGAATCATCAGCAGCCACCGCCCGCTAGCGGTGCGCCGTCGAAACGCCAAGCCACTAATGCCAATAACAATAACAACAACAATAATAGTGTTAATAACAATAATACGAGCGGTGGTAATAAGAAAATCGTCGATACGAGCCCATATCTAACACCGGAGAATCTCTTCGAGCGTACTGTTGATGTGTTGCTGGCCGAACATCCGGGAGAATTGGTGAAGACCGGCTCACCGCATGTGGTAAGTGTGGAAATTTGTGACTTTAAACCTATTACTTTAGCGCTTTATTACCTGGGTGTGAATTAGTATGATAGAATTAAAACATTTGATGAAAGCTCTTTATGGAAAAAAGGGAACTTTTTGAGCTTTTACACGAAGATCTAAAGTTTTCGTAATTTATTACTTGATTGTGAATTTAATAAGATATAATTAAACCATTTGATGAAAGCTCTTTATGGTGAAAGTGAAAGTTTTTGTGCTTTCACATGAAGATCTTAAGCTTTAGGAATATTTGATAATATATACAGCGATATATTGATATAAGGCTAAAAAAATATGAAAAAAATCGATAGTCGAAAGTGTTCATTTGAGCGTTAAGAGAAAGCCCATAATTTTACAAATATAATTAAATACGTACTTTTAATTTTAATATTTATTGCCGCATATGATCTCTATAGACAACTTCTAATAAAGTTCAAGGTAACAAAAACTCAATATAGTTGCCGTGCCAAGTTTGACTTTCACGCCTTCGCTCAATTTTCCTCCTTATGGAAAGCAATATTGCAGTTAACCTGTTGTCGAAATAAATTTAAAGGATTTGTGAATAGTATTAAACTTATAATTCCTTTATGGATTGAACATTCCTCCGAAATACCAATACAATGGGAACTTCATTATAGCTGCTGCGGACGAATGGTTAGACTATTCCACTCAGAAGACAGAGCGCGTACTCAAGTTTAAAAGCTTTAAGAGTTTTCATCATTTATACTATATAATCCATAACGAAGCTAATGACGACTCTTTCAGTATGACTTGGATTACTTCGAATTCGGAAATCCAGTTCTGTAAGAACCTGTTGTAAAATGGTTTCCTAGTTCTTCAAATATAAATGACGAAACTTGCTTTTCAACCGATAGATAGATAGAAAAATTGAGGATTTGAACTGCGACCTATGGCCTATTGTGCCCTCTCCTATATCACATGCGGTTATAAAGGTTCAGCATTCTGAACAATTTCATGAGCTTGCTGGACGCGACCGAGGAGATGCGATCCCTGTCCAAGAAGATTAAGCCCAGGACCTTGAGCGAGCTTCTGCAAATTCCTGAGAAATCTAGAAGCAGGTGTTCTGGAGTTTCCTATTCCATATCGTTTGCGATATGTTGTATAAGTGCTTCTTGAGCCTGCAGTGCCCTGCATAGAGCGCGACAAGGAGATGGAATTTGTCTCTCGAGAGGTTGATCATATCCATAAACCTTGTAAGGTTGTAGCTTGGCATGGCGCATTACTGCTGCCTGCACCAATGCTGTTTTCTCTCCACTCCCTCCGCCATCCATCCTGGACGCTGCCGCAGAGCGGGCTATTTCGTCGGTCAGCTCATTGCCGGCTACCGCTATATGCCACGGAACCCAGATTGTAAACTGAAAGACATTTCAGCCTTCCAATACACTCCTCCATGAAAAACAATTTAACCTCTTACGCTAAGGTCGGCCTTAATGTCGCTTGACTATCACTAAGTATAGCGATACACTGGTTGCGATCGTTAGGATGGATATTGATTTCTGCACAGTGACTTATAGCAAAGACCTCTGCTTGAAAGATGCTCAGAAACCGTCCCATTGGTGTGGATAATTTGGTATGCGGTGCCGCAATGCTCCAATACTTTCCGGTGTTTCGAGTCAATATACTAAAAGAAAGTGTTACCCCTCAGTAGTAGGTCGAACTACTTTGCGAAATTTACCTTTTTCGTAACGCCGTCTCTTGGAAGAAGGGTCAGTGGTGTGTCTTCCCCTTTATTTGTTCAAGCGACATTATCTTTCCTTAACGAAAAGACCTCTACTGATATGAGCTGCATGATATGCTTCTCTGCCTGTTTGATCACTAGAAGTAGCCGTGTAAGATCCAGAATGACTTTAAGTGCTGCGGCAAGTGCGCATTGACCTTAAGCGCAGACACAGGCGAGTCGTTTCAGCTTCGGTAGTTGAAGGTCTACCAAAGACTGCGTTGCCTTAGATGCCCAAGGAATCGCTTCATAAGTGGCCTTACGATATTGATAAATAGCCATATTGTGATACCTGACTTGCAGTCCCAAGATCTGAGGGCTAGGCGTTTACATATATGAGGGTAAAGAGTTTTACCTCTTTAGACACCTCTAACTCCCTGCCACTGAGAGTTAGGGGACCCAAGGTTGATATTTTACCCTACCGTATTGCAAAATCCCTTTATAGACTGAAGCCCCTTTGGATTATGTTGCAGAGACCATAGTTACGTATACAGTGAAGTATGATTTTTCCTCTAGAAAATTACTAAAGGTTGTGGCAGCACCTTTTGTAAATATTAGCACAGAGAACGCTGCTAGATGAGATTTTTAGTGCAGTCAGACTTTTCGGAAAGAGAAACAGAAGTGGATACGTAGTTAAGACTACAGCTTTGTTGATTTTTTTTTTAACATTTTTAAGAAAGCTCAAGCGAAATTATAAACAAATTACTTTCAATCTAGTTTAAAATTTTTACTGTATTGACCCCATATAGCAGTCCTAACTGCAGGCGTTCAAATTAGTTATTACCGTACCAAATAATTTATTGACACCAAACATTTAGCTATTTGCCAAACAGAATGGGGAAATGTAATTGAGTTTGTTCATTATTTCCACAGGTCTGCACAACGCTGCCCACACATTGGCGCTCGAACAAAACGCTACCAATTGCCTTCAAAGTGCTCGCCTTGGGCGAGGTAATGGACGGAACGATTGTAACAATACGCGCGGGGAACGATGAGAACTTCTCGGCGGAGTTGCGGAATTGTACGGCTGTTATGAAAAATCAAGTGGCCAAATTCAATGATTTGCGCTTCGTTGGACGCAGTGGACGTGGTAAGTTTGTTGGCAACGGGGGAGAAGGTGTTTGTAATTTTTGATGCTATAATGTGTGTTAAATTGCGTAGCGGTAAAGTTAGCTTGTTTATTGATGGCATTTAAATAGAAGGCATTCACTACATTTTTTGCTGAAATGGGAATACAGATCAGACTACTTCAACTTGGAGCCTGATACTACTTTATAAAAATACAACGTGAACTGGAATCTGAGTTCAAAGACAAATATTTGGAACGCAATTAGGCTGATTTAGTTTCGATAGGTCTTAGATCTGTAGAGGCAAGTACTGAAACCGCATTAAATAAACTTGATCGAATATTCGATTTCACTCAAGAATATTTCTCGGAGCTCTGTCAACCTCGTGGGTTATACTTTTATGTTAAGCTCTGCTTGGTGTTTGCCAAAAATACTATATAGAGGAAGCGGAACTTAGAAGAAAGTATTTAAGAGCAACTGTTGAAAGTCGTTCCAACGAAAACCACTTATATATCGACTCTTAGTAATAGTAGAATTACTTCGTTTAGCGAAGACACAACTCATATTTTAGCGAAGATATTCACCATTTTATGAAAATTATTGAACTCCTTTATGTATGTTTACGTAATTTCGCATTTACTAAGAGTCGATGAGTTGAGGATTTTCATTGTACCAACTTCAACAGTTGCTCTTTAAATTTGAGAACTAAACGATAAATTTTGATCAAATGGTTCCTGTCCGCGCTAAAAAAATCATGCTTCTCACAATCACTGTAAAACTGACCGGCAAGTGATCTACCAAGTCTCCGAGCTGACGCTTATTGTCTGCCTGCCATCAATCAATCCATTGCGTGCAGCCGCCACACTTCAACCTGCGCGACTCGAAGGTCATTTCGCTGGTTTGTCTGTGCTAAGATTTTCTTTTGCCACCATCTTTTGACAGCAAATGGAGGGTGACGCGAAATGAGCAAGCTAAACGGGAGAAAAAAAGACAAACCAACTGATTGATTGGGTGTGAGTTTGGGTGCTGGTGGGGGAAAGGAAAAATAAAATCACTAAACAGAAAATTAAATCACCGTAGCTGTTTATTTTGAGCTACACAAAGTGACTACTCACACCGATAACCAAAAGAAAATACAAAGTAGCAAAGCTTTTTCTTCGGAAGAATTCACGTATTTTTTCATTCCTTGATAAAACTGAAGTTACTTTTGAATTTGGGGTAGCAAAAACGTTTGGTTTGCGGGGCCGGTTTGGTTGGTAGCGACGGTTGAAGTTTGGGTTGGTACGTTATTTGTGGTGTTTGACAATTTGCTCATTAAGCAATGCCGGTTCGTTAAGCGTGCGTCTTTTGCACTTTTTTCTGATTCTTAGGAGTTTTCTACAGTTGTTTCTTTTTTTATATATCTTTTGTTGAATTTTTTAACTTTTTTGTATTTTTTTTTAATTTTTTATAAATTTTATTTTTTTGTATTTTTTTCCGTGCGGAAATGTCGCCCCAAATGCCGCGTGACATTTTAAATACCGAGCCAAGTGGCTGATAATGCTCGAGGATTTGCTAGCAATTACGCTTTTTCGCCTTCACTGATTTGCATTTGGTATCATCAAGCCTGTTTACTGAAGCTCTTAAGGATGGTAGCATGGTTGCTTCTGTCTTTCTTGCTGTTGTTGGAAGCGTCCCTTCTTTCATTTATTTATTATAGGATTTGTAGCGAAAAACTTGCCGAACAAATGAATTTAAATTGCATGCTGGTTATAATCAAATCTAAACCCTTTCTCCTGCCACGCTTTTGGCATATTTACAAAGCGATTACTAGGGTCAGTGACAGTTACGCGCGGGCTCTTAATGTCAATCCTTTCGGCACGCAAAAAAAAAGGTTTGCATAAAAGTAAAAATAAATAAGAATTAACCCGAAAAATCCTTTTAGTCCTTACAGAAAAGCAACTCTGCGGATTAAGTAGTAATTTTTAATGCTCGCCGGCTAAGCTCGCAAATTATTTGTTGCTCATTTCGAAAATTATTTGCATATTAAGGTGAGTGGTTGGTGTAAGCTCTCAGCATATATAATATATACACTTGCCACAAATATCTAATGCTGCACTTAATACAATACAAGATTATTGACGCACGTTGGCACCGCCTGTGTCTTGAGCTTAGAGCTCTAACATTGGCAGGTGTTGACCAGAGGCTTGAGTGGTTTGGTTCCAGTTTTGGTTGCTTGTCTCCACCGGAAAACTTCGTCAAAGCTTTAACAAATGATTTTATGCACTTTTGCTTTGTATCAATTGTTGTATCAATTGTTGTGTTTGTTGTTGTAATTTTCATTTGGTATTTGTGTGTGATAAGTTTGCTTTGGGTGCCTCGAGCATTAGTAATGCATTAGTAATTAATTAACAACATTCCACAGCGCTGCTGCACCTTTCTGTGCAACTCTCATCCATCGCTTGCTTATTATCTTCCTATGTGTATGTATGTATGCATGTATGTGTGTGTGAATGCTGTTGACCTGCATGCAAACGCTGCTGTTGCTGCTCCATTTTAATTAAATTTATTTTCCAAGCTAATGATAAGATCGCCAGTGCAACCAACTGCTGCATAGAGCTTTGGGTGTATGTGTGGGTGCAGCTTGGTATTGCTTTTACAGGGTTATGCATTGCGTGCTTCAATCAATCAATTTATTCCTACAGACCAAGGAAATCTGCAGAGGTACTCCGGTGGAGTGCTATCTCCGCTTCTATGAATATTACTTGGGAATAGATTGCTAAGAAGCTTGGAAGGCAAAGCCCCTAATATAGTAGCACATGCGGACGACATTGTCCTCTTAATAACGGGTAGGTGTCTACAGACCATTAGCCGTATTATGATCTTAAATCTCAATACAGTCTAGTCGGCGGGATGACTACTGGGTGCAGGAGATTTTACATATAGAACTTTCGGGCATAGCTCGGTGGGTAATGGCGGCTGGGCAACCGCCGACAGCAAAACCCCAATTTTCTACTGGGAAAAAAGGTTCAAAGTAAACATAGAAAAAGAAAGCTGGTGTATGTGTATATTAGCTATGCTGAATTATACGAATGGCATGAAAATGAACGATGGAGTTGGTGCAGGAATACACGGCCCAGAGTTAGGTATAGGGCAATCTTTTGAGTTGCCGGATCACAGCAGTATATTTAAAGCTGAGGTCTTTGCTATTGCGAAAGCTGCGGAGCTAGCCTTTAATGCATCTTCAGGCAATTCTAGGATCAACATCTACGTAGACACCCAAGCAGCAATTAAGGCAGTAACCTCGTATCGCATAAGTCTCACCTCTTCAACCAACTGATAAAGTGAAATATCGAGGGCTTATAATTGATAGAAAACTTTCACGGAGGCCAAAAATTGAGGATAGAGTAAGGAAGGCAACTTTTCCCTTATTTTGCTGTAGAGAAGCCTTAGGGAAAAGGTGTTGTTTTGACTCTACAAAACCGTACTCGAGCCAATAATGTTCTATGATTTATATGTCACGTTGAGTTGGCTCGAAAAGGTTACACTTATTTAAAATCTTCAACGGGTCCAAAGAGTAGCTCTCTTGTTGTTGTTGTAGCGTTAGAATTCTGCAAAGTTGACAATCCTTGGCTGGATAAAAATCTGGGTCCATTCCGGTTACGTAGACCCGACCGTAGTGGGAACGGTATATGGCTCTCATCAGTATCTCCGGTGTACTACATAGACTTTGCCGGCGGGTGCATTGATGTGTAGAGTGCTTTAAAGTTCAGAGCTGCTGTGTATATGAAGTGGTTCGATCAAGAACACGCCAAATTTCTTTCCTCCTGCAACTCCATTGTTGAAAGTTTGGATCACTGGAGATGTGGCTGAGGAGAAGACGTTGGAGATGAGGCGCAGTGATCTTTTTCATGGATGGCTTCAACCTAGGAGAAAATATTGGAAGAACAGTTTTCTGTAAGGAGGTCTCGGCAATCTTAACCTTAGGGTACCGGATCACTGCAGTGTTTTTCAGTTAGAGTTGACTGCTATACAGGTCGCAGCAAATTTGCTGCTAACAAGTATAGTCTCTTGCAGGGAATTGATCATTCACTCTAACAACAGAGCGGCAATACTTGCGCTGAGCTCGCTAACAAAAAGCTCAAAGCTGGTCAAAGAGTGTCTGTCTTCCCTAGAAAAAACTACTTTATCATCAGACTCGTTTGGTTGCCTGATTACAGCGGAGTCGTCGGGAACTGCAAAGGTGAACCAAGTGTGATCTCTATCAGGATCAATCTGTCCTATGGAAAGGAAGCAACTTGGTTTTCCAATGGCGTCTTTCGTTGCTAAACTAGTGTGAATCCTCTCAGTATCGGCCTCTTAAGATAACCCAGTCAAACCTAAGGAATCTTTTGTATTTGTTAAGGGATTACAGTTTCCGAAACATTCGAAGTTGACGTTGTTTTTTGTTCTTAATGAGAAAATTGCAGTTCAAGCTTGAAATTATGCCTCACTTACTTAACAACCGATTTACTCTTTTATAGAGTGCGGAGTCATGACTATTCTGTCTACATTCCTGCAGATTAACATTCCGCAGCTCTAACGAAACAACCCATTATATGTAACAGCAAATATACATACACGTGAGCCGATGTATGCTAATGAACATGTGCTCATTCGACCGGAAATGCATAATCCCAGGCGTAGCGAAAGCAGCAGCTCCTGAAATGCAATATAGGTGAGCACTTTCCCTCCTCCCTTCTCGCACTTACCGCTCCGCATCGAATAATCTCTCTAAGCATGTACAAGCTTTATTACTTCACGCTACAACTACTGCGTGCGCCGGCGACCAGTGAGAGCTGGCCATTTCGGAGATTGGACCGCTGTCGTCGACGTCGTCGTCGTTGTCGACGTCGTCAAAGCACTTAAGTTGATCTGCATTGCTTTGCATCTTTGCATTTTATAGTGCCCGTTGCGTTTTGTGGGGACTTAGCGTTTTGTTGCTGTCAATAAGCGCTTGCAATCATCGCCATATTGCCTTGGTAAGAAGAGAGCTAAATCAGCA